TTTGGCCCACCAAAAATACAACTTTTGTTCTGATACCATGGCTTTCGTTTTGTAGGGTAATCAGTGTTATTACATTTTTATCCTCTAACGCTTCTCTAAATAGAAATGAGGTCTCTTCATTCGATTTGGGAAATTGGATGCTAGTGGGGGAATTCAAAACAGTGTTGGTTTCAAGCTTGAGTTCCTCTGCATAGTACCAACTTCTTTTTCTTGGCCCGAAAGCATGCGTCTCAATGAGAAAACATGAGGGAATGATGAATCCAGCATATCCTGAGACCATTTTGCCTATATACTTAATGCTGCCTTGAAATTCTGTCCAAATGTGGTCCATGAATGATAGGGCCACATTTGGACAGAATCAGATTTGGACGCATCAGTCCAAATTACACATCCAATGGACATCAGTGTCCAAATGCGATTTTTATTGTGATAGGCAGAGTAAGCCATAGTATATAAGAAATAAGATTAGATATATACTATGGCACTGCTCATTTATATTGATATGGGAAATATGCCCATCTGAATGAAAATTAACTCTTTCTTATATGAAGCAAGGTATAAAGTTGAAAGTCTGTTCATCACCATGAACTGATGAGAACTGGAGTAGCATGTATGATCTGATATGCCTAAATAATTCTCACCTCACTGAACCGCAAATGTGATAGACTTCTATAGTGATTGTTAGATTTAATAACAGAAAGGAGTAAGGAAGCTTTGAATTACTAAATATTGATAACATTTCTTAAAGAACAAAATAAATGAGCATTTCATAATATGCACAGTATTAACCTATCTCTACTGTGGTCTTAGTAGCTAAACACATCTTGCCTTGTCATTCTCTTAACATTCTCATCTTGTGTTCAAATATATATTTTACATTTATGCGGCAGGAAAGAAAGCTAAGATTCTCATAACATTTACATACAAGCTGTGTATGAAAATCGCTATACATCCAGTTATGGTGTCAAGAGAATCTCAATATTTTATAGCAATCACCTGTTAGTCAAATGTCCCTTCTTCCCAGGCTGATTAGAAGCCGGTGTCCCTGGGACAGTTGCTTAGTGGAGAAAGAGTCACAGTTGGTCTTGTTCAAATCCAGGTCAGATTAAAAAAAAAAAAATGAAAGCCCTTTGGGGTGGGTGGGAAAAGCAGTTTAAATCTCTTCATGGAACTGGCTTTTGGTGGGAGACAAGCAGGAAAGGATGATCATCGTGATTCTCCATTAGAACAGATGCAGCAGGTCAAAATAATCCCAGTTTGGAGTAAAACACAGTAAGTGCTGTTCACAGAGATGGCATGGCCTGACAGAGAGAATTTATTCTTTGGGCTGTGTTCTGCCGCATCACAACTGCATTTTGTGACAGCCTTTCTGAGACAGATTTCCTCATCTGTAAAATGGGTTAGTAATAGGAAGCTTTTGGGACCATTTGGTACATAGATATAAATATATAGCCTAGGACGATGCTAGAACATTGCGAGCGTTTGATAATTGATGCCCAATGTCCACAGATTTCCTCAGCTCTTAGTTACTCATGTTGCTAGCTTACCAGCTCCCGTCTGCAGGGTAGCAATGCCTCCCTTCCCCACCAGTAAAGTCCCCCACAGGTATTTCTGGAGGTTTCAACAGTGTCACCACATTGCATAAGAGACCAAGTTGCTCTTGTTCTTCCATCCTCCTCATGAGGTCACCTTACATGTCTCTTGAGAGAGGCTCCTTCCTTACGGTCCTGCTCCCAATGCCCTCTGGGAGAACACCACTCTGACCAAAGTCCCAGTCAGAGACCCCAGGAAGCCAGCACTGTGCAGTGGATGAGAGCAGAAAGGAGAAGAGGCCCTTTGACCTTTTTCACCCAGACCTGCAAGCAGCCCTATGTGTGATTCTGAAAACAGACGCATCTGCTTCCTTTGCTTCACTCTCAGGATAACCTTGATCTTGGGATCATGTGGGGAAACCAGCCATGCTTGTTGGCCATTTTCCCTGTCTCTTTCCTCTGTCTCCAGCACCTGCTCATTGCTGTCCAGGCATTATCTCACCCTCCCAAGGAGCCTGTGAGGTTGCTATATTTAACCCCAATTTATAGATGAAGAAGCTGATGCCTAGGGAGATTCAGAACACCACCCCTCCTCCCCTTTTACCTCCTTTAAGTAAATACCTGGGGTATCATCAGCCTCAGATACCCCTGCCCGTGAAGACAAGCCCCACACTTCCTGCAAATGATAGCAATTATTATTAGCATCCCAGTCTAAGTCAAGTGAGGCCAGAGTTTACACTGACCCAGTAATGAGTCCGGAGAAGTATGCAGAGTAGGAACTGAAGTACAAACACTGGAGTAACAGGGAGAGAAGGAGGGGGGTGGGGAGTTCCAAGACTAAGGAAAAGAGTTTTGAAAACCAAAATACGGTGATTATAAAAAATAATGTAGAACAGATGACTCTAAGAGAATATATCATCTTTTTTATTAATCTTCTTTTCAAAAACTTTTCTTACAAGGCACCAGCTACTTTTATCATACATTCCCCCAAACTCCCTAAGCTGATCCCATCTTTAAAAAAAAAGGGAAAAAGTAATGCCGTCATCCAGACAAGGAGCAAGACTTTCTCTTCTCTTTCATGTGCACTCCCATTTCCTTAATTCATCTTTCATTCTCCAACTATAGGTGGGAAATCTTTGAGGAACTATTTTTTGGTGAATGAAGTTTTGATCTCATTCTACGAGAAATCTCTAGAGATTACTTTCAAACTAAAACCAATTTCATACCCAGTAGAAAACTTTCATCTCATGGAAAAAAAAGCTAAATGAGAATAGTCCAAGAACATCTTTCCAAAAAGAAGGTACTATACTTGCTCAATTATGACCAAGAAGTATTCTCTTTCTTAAACCAAGAAATAAAAAAGAGAATTGCTCTGTTGATAATGCTTTGTGTTGTTTATCTAGGGCAAGTGAAAGATACTCTGGTTATCAGTCCCTTTATGTGTCAAGCATAATTTTTCATGGGAGATGTCAGTTATATTTTAGCAAAAGACCAAATTCAATTCCAATTCTCTTAGCAATAGTATTTCAAGTAATATAAGAAGAGCAAGGTGTTGATGAAAAATAAAGGAAAATACATTTTAATAAAATATAATAATTCACAAGTATTACCAATCCATTTTCTTCTAATATTTTAGATCAAATGTTCTAAATTATCCAGCTTATGCTTTGGGTTTTCTGAATTTTCCAAATTACATGTCTATTTACTGCTGATGTATGAAAAGCAAGGAGAGGTGAGACCAACAAGATATTTGCATACACAACAATAGAAAAAGATGATGTGGTATCATTTCATTTTTCTTTTTGTTTCTTTATTTCTTATTAGCAGTTTGGAGTGATCCATAGATCATGAAATTAATAGACATTGAAAACTTTCCTGGTTACTACCACCCACCTAGGTTCCTTTTCTCTGAAGCCTATTCTCCTTTGACCAGAATTCTCAGCAGAAAGGGGATGGTGGGGTGCCAGGGTGGCTCAATGGATTAAGTGTCTGACTCTTGATTTCCGCTCAGGTCATGATTTCAGTGTTGTGATATCGAGCTCCGTGTCAGGCTCCGTGCTAGGCAAGGAGCCTGCTTGAGATTCTCTCTCTCCCTCTGCTCCCCCCTACCCCACACACCTGCTTTCTCTCTCTCAAAATAAATAAATAAATAAATAAATAAATAAATAAGGGGAGTGGAACGGACATGGAAACTCTATGATGTTCAGGCACTCTATTATTGGCACATCTGTATCAGCTGAATATATAGAAGTCTTGGAAAAATTTACTTTTTAAATTGAAATAATGGGGGCGCCTGGGTGGCTCAGTCATTAAGCGTCTGCCGTGCGCTCAGGTCAAAATCCCAGTGTCCTGGGATCGAGCCCCACATCGGGCTCCCTGCTCGGTGGGAAGCCTGATTCTCCCTCTCCCACTACCCCCTGCTTGTGTTCCCTCTCTCGCTGTGTCTTTCTCTGTCGAACAAATAAATAAAATCTTAAAAAAAAATAAATAAGTGGAAATAATGTACTGAAATCTGAAATTCAAATTTTGTTCATTACTTTTTTCAGTAATATTTTTAAAGATGTTCACTAAACACAGGACTGATAATTTAGGGATTATTTAGTTATTAAAAGTGAAAATATGTGTATTAATGCCTATGGATCCACCTCAAATGTTTCTTCATATTTAGTCTCTTTTTTCTTCACATGCTAGCTGTGAACTTTAGTTCGGTGCTATATCCAAAAACCAAGAGCAGATGAGACACCTAAAAATATCCTCATTTGCATCTGTTTCCCTTCCTTATGAGAGGGAGGGTCATCCCTCCTGATTTTGCCTTACAACAAGAAAATAACTAAGACAATTTGGGAATTAATTCATCGTTCATCTCTCATGCTAGCACGTCAGGCCCTCCATCATTTGGTTCAAATTGATGCTAAGTTGCAAGAGAGCAGAACAAGAGTCTTTGGCATTTTTCCACTCCATGTAGTTACTAGCAGAGGTGATTAATAAAAGGCGCTTGGATGTGACTTGAAAAACTTGATTAAGTGAATTAGATCCTCTTTACTTTGTCTTCTTGCACAAAACATAGTGTTATGGGGTTCATATTTTTTAAAGGTAGTGAAATAAAATATAACAAAATTACCACATATTTATAAAATATGGATCTCTTCCTTCCTATAAAAATTTAAGATCAGTTCTCCAGAATGAGAGAAACATGTATAGATGCAAATCAATTCTATATTGGTTTCTTATTACCACATTAAAGAGAAAATCTGAGGATGTAAGTTATGACTTAATTTTGATTTTGAATGCACACAACTACCTAATGTACATAAAATAACCATCATGGAATGAAACAGATACATCCAACAGCTTGCTGCATTTAAATGATTTTAAAATAAGTGCTTGTAAAAAGTCAATTTTTGGTGTTTTGCTGCTTAGGAACGAAACAAATCACAAATATGTTTTTATGTTGATTTTCTTTGACAGGACTGGGAATTCCCACATTTTATGGGAAATGTTGATGTAAATCTTCCTGGGTTGCACACTCCTCACATGCAGTTCAAGATTCCTTTCTTCCAAAAGATCTTCAAGGAGGAATATCGTATTCACATAACAGGTATGCTGTAACTTTAAACACGATCTGATTGTCTCCTACTTAGAGTAATACCAGCTGCTGTAAAAAAGCAAGTGGTAACATTGTAGAGGCATGCATACATCTAGTTTTATTTCTCACTCATTTAATAGTGCAAGGTGGTTCTGGGTCAGTTGGGGGTTCCAAACTATCATTCTGGGACTAAGGCTCCGAGCGGCTTTAGTCATTTGGATTTCAACATCCAGCAGGCAAATGGGAATGGCGAGAATGGAGAAGAGGATGAAGAAGGCTTATCTTTTTCTTAATCACCTTGACATGGGGGAAAGACATATACCCTCTAGTCACATTTCACTGGCAGTAGCTCATCAGATAGCCCTACTTAGAGTCAAGGAGGAAATGTGGTCCATGCTTGGGCAGCCACTTCGGTGTCACATCTGTTCTCGCGGGAGGCCACAGTTTTGGCGTGGATAGTTAGCTATCTCTGCCATGCTCCAGATACCCCTCCACCTTGGTTTTCTTCATGAGGTTAGTTGCTTCCTCACGACATACAGCTCAGTATGTTTTTTCACCATTAACACCCTTTACACTGCGTTCCTCAGTTACTGCTGAGATTGCAACAGTGGTATCCGAGAGCACCAGTCAGACCCTATGCCTTTAGGGAGTTAGGCCACTTCTCATTTGATCAAAACCTCCTTCTGTGGCAGAGCTCATGTTTCTCTCAGGTGAGTCTCTTGCAGATCCTCAGATTCTTTCATTTGCAGAGATGCCCTCCTTTTGAAACGGCTCCGTTATGATTTATTATAATATTCCTTCATGACATCTCAGGCATTCTCATCTGAAAAAGGTCTTCCTGAAGTTCTGTTTTATACCTTTTTTTTCTCTCCTAACCAGAGGCAGACAGCTAAATGATCACATAAAGGGTGGCGTTAGCTCCCAAGCTGTTCAAATGTACGTAGTGAACGTGTGTGTGTTTTAAGGACAATGGCTTAGGATCCCACACCTGCTATAATAAAAACTGCTGAAGAAATCCGTGCTTACACTACTGTCTGTGCTGCTGTGTAAAAATAGCCCGAGCACAGAAAACGTGAACATCTGAGTCTTGCAAACAACCTTTGCTTCCCAACTTGAAGGCTGGTTTTTGCTTTGAGCATGAGGCGACCTTCCTAAACTGGAGAATGAGTTCATGAATAGGGAAGATGCAGCAGATTTCTTTTCCTATTCAAAATGAATGAGGCCCATCTATTAAATTCACTGGGTAAATCAGTCAATTTGAGTTCAGGTCACATAGTGTGGTTTCAGAGTCCCCACTTAATCTCTGCAGCATGCTCCCCTCTCGGACTTCTCAAACAGCCATCACACACATGGCGTCATCATGTCGCTTTGGGTGGGCTTTTGCGTGGACCATCTGTTCTTGCTATCAGCTCTTGTCCCAGGCCACCATGGCACTAATATTATCTCTGAATATCAGAATCCCCGTCAAAAATGTACCGCTGCAGTGCATACTATTAGGTTAAAAGGGGGGTGGAATATTCAGAGCAACCCGTTGGTAAGAAAAAAATCAAGCTGTTAAAAATATTTAATTTGGGGGTCGCCTGGGTGGCAGTCGGTTAAGCGTCTGCCTTTGGCTCAGGTCATGATCTCCAGGTCCAGGGATCTAGCCCCATGTCAGCCTCCTGGCGCAGCAGAGAGCCTGCTTCTCCCTCTCCCTCTACTTCTCACCCTGCTTGTGCTCTCTCTGTCTCTCTCCCTCTCAAATGTATAAATAAAATATTTTTAAAAAATATTTAATTTGGGGCTATTTGGCAGGGCTTTGTCATATATGCTATCATTTATGGACAGGGACAGGTTCAGGTTCTGTGGTGCCCAAAGCTTACCCAATCTGGAATGCTCTAGTTAAGAATATAAAAGCAAAATTACGACTAAAAATTACTTTCAGTGCCTTGGAAGAAGGACACGCATACAGGAGTCCTTGAAGCTTCAGTGTAATTAGCTTCGAGATAAAGCCTCCTATGCAGTTGAGCTAAAACCTTTATTCCACCATGTATTATTTTCTAGAAACTTAAAAGGAAGAAAGACTGGCTAAGTTCTTGGAATGGAAACTGCACATTAATAACAGTTGTGAGAAGGTGGAAATATATTGTAGTTAAGGTTCCGATGCAGTCTTTGCCAAATGATGCTGAAAATCATACCATTCAAGATATATATTTATAAACACATTGTTGGGCCCCATTCCTAATAGTTCCAACTCAAGATTCTGGGCCATGGCCAGGGAATGGGACTTTAGAAAAGCACCCCAGGTGATGGCCATTGGGAACTGCTCCTTGGTGCTGGAGAAGCCATAGGTGAAGCCGGGCTGTCTCCCTGCGATGGGCCATGCAAATGATTGGGTTCCTGGATCTGCCTGGAAGACCTCTGAGGATTCTGGAGTTTTAATCCAAAATAAAATAGGGTACAGGTGGGCTTTGGGGTGAAAAGTTCCACTATAAACAATTTAAACCCAATTTATGGTAGGATGATCATGCACCGCCCCAGATCCATGATAAAAAATTCTAGGAAAATGGTGGCAGGTTTGGAGGCTGAAGAAAGTCTAAACTGCTCCCCTCTTGTGTTATTCTGTGACTCTCTTCTGTTAATTGCTGAAGATGTGGCTGAGGACACTCTGAAGTAGCAGCGAGTCTCCTGTGAAAGGGCCTTTTTTTTTTTTATCTGACTTTGTAAGATAATTGTTTCTGGGGAAACCTAGATAAAATTTCCAAAAACATGGTACGTGTTGTATTTTAATATGCTCAGTTGTCCGTAGCCTGCAAATTCCCAAGTCAACTACAAATGCTAACTTTATCAACTCCTCCAAGTTCTGCTTCTTTTTGTAGGGAAACTCAGTGCTTTTCTTGATGAGTATTATCACTGGGTTATTAAGCATGAAACTCTCTATATCCATCGCCAGTGGTTCTCAGATTTCAGTGTGTATGAGAATCACCTGGAGAATTTGTTAAAAAGATCCATCAGCCTCATGTGCAGAGCCAGATGCCTGAGGTAGGAGGTGGAGCCTGGGAGCCAGCCTTCTCTTAAGCATCGCCAGTGATGCCTACGCATGCTGCCAGAGGCCCTCTCTTTGGCCAACACTGCTGCTGAGAAACACTTTCTACCATCAAAATTTCTCTCATCCCAGCTTTAATTTATTTCCATATGCAACTCTTACGATCAAAAGCCAAGGGGCAGAATGAAAATTCAAATAGAAATGGGGTACTAGTGAGAAGGGCACATGCTAGAGAGTCCTGCTGGGAGCTGGAAAGTTCAGAGCTGGGGCCAAGAAAAGAGGTCCCAAAGCAGAGTATGATGGGAAACATCTGGGTGACCACAGAGGAAACTGGAGTCAGGGGTGGGAAGGGATCCTGTGGACCCCCAGACAGCTCCATCTATTGCTTTCTCTGCCTGTGTTTGTTCTGTACTAGAAGAGTCTGTGCAGAGACTGCTAGGGTTCTCCTGGGTTCAAAGATGGCTCCACCATGGCCTCAACTATCATTTCTCTGTGCTCTGGAAATGACGTTCAGTGCATGCTTAGAAAATGGAATGTAATGGTTTGGTGCCTGGACTCTGGCTCAGCCACTGACTGTTGGTGTGGCCCTTGTCAAGCTCCTTAACCTCTTAGAGGCTCAGTTTTCTCATCTGTTAAATGGAGACAGTAAGGTTCTTGTCCCATAGGGTTGTTGTGAGATTTAAATTAATATGTACAAGGCACTTAAAACACTGCCATTTGGTAAGCACTCAGTAAACTCTCACTACTTTTACCTGCAGCTTTTGCTTTCAGAGTCCTGCCAGAGTTTGTTTTCCTATTTAATTCAAAAATATTAGGTAGCCTGAGAGGGGGCTCTTATTATTTATCCACTATTCTGAATTCTCTACTGTTACCTACTGTTCTGAGTCAAGAAGGAGAAGGCTAAGAATGGAAAAAAAAAAAATCTCTCTTCCAATGAAGAGCTGTGTATGTAGAGGGTTATCTGACACTGATGAGTTCCCATTGACGTTTTAAAAGCATTTAGGATTTGGGTATTTTCTAATCCTGATTCCATGCTAGTTTTGTTTATGCATTTCAGAAATGACTTGAATTGTTGCATCTGTTTAGCTCATCTGGATCCCCCTTGACAGATGGTTTGCTGCCATGTGTATGAGCTTTCATTTTATAAGCTGGGCTGCAGCTTATAAAAATAAATCATCTCTATCCAAGAGTGTGTTAAAATATTTTTTTCTGGGAATTTTGACTTTAGTAACAAAGGGGATAAGTAGTGATTAGGTCACATCAGTACTTTTAGCCCCAGCCCATTGTTCTTCTCTTAAACATAAATGCTAAATGTAACCGTGTAATTATTTCCTCTGGCCTCTTCCTTTTTACCTATGAGGTGAGTGCAAAGATGGATTCGAAATGTGATGTACTAAGTCTCTGGAGGCGAGAGAGGAATGGCCTCTCAATTCACTCTCGGAAGCTCCTCTGAGTCCTATTAATGCCAATCCCGGCGGAAGCTCTGCCATCTGTCATCCCAGCCAGACAAAGGAAGTGTCCCATTGGTGGCCATCATCTGAGTAAATTAGGAGGGGGTTGAGGGAAAGGCCAGAGGAAGACCTGTGCATCTGTGAGGAGAGAATTCACTCTTTTGGCACGATGATGCCCACGGGAACCCTTTCGGCAAAAAAGGAAAATGTAGAAGTAAACAAACCTCCATAGTGTCTGTGTTCTGTTTCAGCTTCCTGAGCCTGTGAGGGCATAGGTGCCTTACAATGGCGAGAGTGTGGAAAATAATGAATAAAACCCCTCTGTTTTATTTCCATAGGTGCATGATTTCTGGCAAATGAGTTCCCAGAGATTGTTTTTTAAAGAGCCCTCCTGTGTCAGTCGGATCGTGGGAAGTGCTGGGGAGGGCAGGCCAGTGGTTCATCCAGAATATTCTGTCCAACAAAATTAACAAGGGGCTTGTTATAGGGAAATATGATGCATCCTGTTCACTGTGACAGTCTCCGAAGATCATGAATTTACCCAGGGTACACAAGGACCTCTTGCTAGTCTCTCAGTTATGAATTTTTCTAAACCTTTCCTGAAGCAGTTTCTATTTTCAACACATTTATACAGCTCTAAGAGTTAACTATGTTTATTTCTACATAAAGCAGCGATTCCTCATATTTGTCCAAAACTCATCTTCTTCAAGGCCATGGATGCTTTGCCCAAAGCCTGTCAGCCCTGGCTGCCCCTGAGCTGGCCTGCTGTGTTCAAACTGAGGTGTCCTGTCTTCATTTGTGCATATATGAGGATTTTTGTGATAAAACTCACACACTCTTTGGAATTGTCTTTACTGCCAGAAGAGAGACTTGAAATATATAATGAATTCTAATCTCCGAAATATGAATATTTTGCTTTTCCCAGTTTTCCAAATTATATCTGATTTTAGCAGTATCCTATAATTCACCAGATCACTGTGACACATGTATTTGATTTGAAAGACTATATAACTTTACTCCTTGGATTGTCTGGACACATTATCTCAGGGTTTACCTATTGGTTAACGGACATTTTCTGAATTAATATGTGTCTAAAACTAAGCTAGGATCTGGGGAATACAGAAACAAACATGACACAATTCCTAATCTCAAGAAAGTCAGAGTCTAATGGTCACCTAATTCAGTATAACCCCATGGCTTTCCCTTCTCCTTGTATCATCGCAAGTTTCTACCTCTCTCTACTCATGTCCCACTTAGGAAATGACAATGACAAGAGAGGCACTTAGAGAAGCTATATTCATTTGCTTTTAAGTCTTAAGATGATGCTTTACTAACTCAAATAGCTCTTATTAATTCATAAATTTTTTAGTAAATATCTTCAGTTTACTAAATGTTCTTCTTATAACCCAAGCACTTAATGTGGTTTCCAGATAGCCCTAAATTACATAGGAGTTACTTAAAGAGATGCTAACTTAGTGAGCCCTGTTTTCACGGCTTATGTCTGGAATGAAAGGACATTGAATATGGCCAAGAAGCCTGTTACAGCAAACTGTTATTTCTTTAATTATCCAACATTTATCTTTTTCAAGGCCATGGTTGCTTGCTATCCCATAATGGGTATTAAAAGGCTTTGTGGAGCATGACTATTTCATGTATCTGCACCGGATGCCAGAGTCTGGCCAAGTGGTGGCACTCATTTGGTATGAAGGTGCCCACAGCACAGCTCAGTCTCAATGCTAACTGGCAACTCTACTGAGTAAAAAAATTTTTTAATATTATAATTGCATATCTGAATAACGAAAGCCTTCTTATATGATGGAAATATCAGCACTTTATATTCTTTTATCCTTAGTTGAAAAAATTACATTTTCCTCCAAATTATTGTCGTTTCCTATGCCAAGTGATGGTGATATTTAATGGAGAATCCTTTTAAAACCAACTAGCCCAGGATTCTATAATCTCCCACAATGTAAAAAGATAAAATTACCATTATAATATCTTTTTGACAATCGGTAGGATTCATTAAAGGCACAAAATACAAGAGAGAGGTAATCCCACCAACACCATGCAGTGATTTCTCATTAAAGGAGACAGTGAGCTATTTCAACAAGGAGATTAATAGAAATAATGTATGGATTCTTACCGTCCCTTCTTGCTGATTTACATTATGCTATGTAGTTGAAACAACAGGGGAAAATGCAAAATCTCTCCTATGATTAATGCTGAAATACTAAACCTCTTGTTATGGTTGATTGTACATTCACAACAACACACTTGGGAAATGGCAAGAGAGCATTTCTATTCTTTCCCTTTTTGTGTTTGATATCCTTTCCATGTGGGTCATTTCAGGGACTCAAATTTATTTTTTATGGTAAATAGTGTTTCTCAGAATATACAATTTTTAAAGGAAAGCTTTCTCGGCATGAAATTGTGTATTCCCTCTTTTTTGCTCCAATGGTGAGATTTCCTGGCCCATTATTAAACGTTAAGGTTTAGGTGATGTTTATTTCACAGACTCATCAAAGAGATTTTTAGGGCTGGGGAGAAACCTGAAGGATCAATAGCTCAACCTCCTCACTTGATAGACAAGAACAGTGATGTTGAGTTGTCTCGTGTGATTTTGCTTTCTGGTTTGCCACATCTCATAGGGCAAAAGTAAAAGAGGAGAAAGCATTACAAAAGTAACAAAGCACTGTGGGAAAATAGAAGGAAGGATGTTAGCCAAAGATGACCATCCTTCCTCTGTGCAAATGCATAAATGGGCCAGCAGTTTATGTCAGGTGGGCTGGAAACAAACAAAAAGTTAAGAGCCATTCTTCTGCATTTTTACCAGCTTCAAGGTTCAGCTGACTGGCTTTGACAGGGGGGTAGGAGGGGTAGAGACAGGGCTACATCCACAGAAGGAAAGAAATGGGATGTCAGTAGGGAACCTGCCTCTGTTCTCTCCCCTCTGCACTTTTCCACCCTGACGTGGCCTGTCTGCCGGGGGGCAGGGGGTGGGGGGAGTGGGGAATGCTACTTCCTGTTCTTTAGCTTCAAAATTTGTGTATATAAATGACCTAGTCCCAGGACCATTCTCCTGCAAGTTGTAGACAAATTACCAATTGCTAAGAATTTTCAACATGTTAAATATGCTGATTCACAAAGCATGTTTACATATAACTACACACTGAGTCCTCTTAGATAACTGGTCCAGTTATATCTACCCAATGATGTCAGTGCTCAGTGATTCCTGCTGTTTTATCCAAAGTGAGACATTTGATCACCTTTAGGATATATCTTTTTTGCAAACCCTTACATGCTCTTCTGTCCTTCTATCACCAAGATTCTATACTAACTGGATTGAAGACATAGAAGAAAGAAATTACAGAAATAATATTCCTCTACATTTTTGGCAAATTTAATATATTTCAGAGAACCTTCAAATATAACTTCTCATTTCTTCCTCACAATCATCCTTTGAGGTAGTTACGTTGATATTATTCTCTATTTCACTGAATAAAAAATTGAATTCACATAGCTAATAAGTAGAAGGATTTGGGGGAAGAGGACAGAATCATAGAACAAGAAGTCATCGGTTCAGTTTCCTCAATTTGAAAATAAAACTGTTGAGGTCTGGAGAGGTTAAACAGGTAACCCAAGGTTGCATTATTTAAGTTAAGTGTCTGGATGAGCTTCATCTGCTGATTTCTAGCCTGCAGTTTTTTGTGACTGTGGTTCTCCCTCTCACAGATCGGTAAAGATGTGTTCGAGAGGGGTGATGATAACCCATTAACTGATGTCCTGCAATACCTTTTTAATTTGCTCCTCCTCCCTCTCATCTAAATATTCAGACTCCAGGTCACATGGGAAATAACATAAAGTGATTCTTTAGTGTCAAAGTGTGGTGGTCAAACTCACCCAGCACCATTCAACTTAGGTGGGAGGAAAATAATGTAGGAAGTTTGGGGAAGAGCTCCTCCTATCCTCAGGGTTTCTTTTTAATTTGATCAGTGTATATTCACTTCAATTTTTATACTGATTTTATCTTTCTCCCTTGTCTATTAACATTCTCTGAGCATCTTTTCCCACCAGAATAGCACCTTACTCCAAGCTCACTGAGAGTTCCTTTCTTCTCCCTGATTCTGTGATGCTGCTTAGCAGTGGTTTCTGATATCCTGTTACCCTAGATACAGGGACCACTTTATGAGGGACTGCCCTATTCATGAGTTAATAAAAATGACCTAGAGCGAGTACAGGTTTCTCCAAGGGACCTTTGTGAGTCAAGAAGGTGATGGTCAGTCATGCAAATTCAAGGACCTGTCTTCCTCACCATCCAGTCTGGCTTCATAGCACATGTAGTTTGCAGCAAGAGAGTATATATCTCCTGCAACAGAGAAGCACTGGAAGCCACTCTCTCAGCTTGCTTTCCATCGTGGAAGTTATTAGCTATTGCCTCCTTAATATTGGATGAGAACCTCAGAACTTTTTCAATTCACTTGTCTCTCGTTCCTCTCCTGCATTCTCTTCCTACAATATTCTCCATTATTTTCTTTCTCTCTCCTCTCACCCCTCTCTTTCATATCACCTCATCTTTTCCTGTATGCTATTTTATCTGCAGCATAATAAAAACATACTAAAAGAAATGCACCATTTTCCAGACTATTCTCTGTCCTTCTTTCAAGGACCACACGAATTGCTACTTCCTCCAAAATCCTTTCTGCAGATAATTCTACAGCCCTCAGTTTTTATTCCATTTTCCCCAGCATCTTCAGCGTTTATATTAGATAACATGTCTCTAAGAAATGTCTTACTTGTATGAAAATTTTAACTACTACAAAGAAATTGTAATAGTTAACAACCTCTTCAAATTGTGTCTTCTAAAGCAGTTTGTCAGCTTTGGTTGTATTTATATGTCTGATAAATGGATTCTGTTCAATGAGAATTTGATGCAATTATTCTTAAAGTCTTGAATGCTCGAAAATTATTGATCTGAATGGTTTAATCAACAGGTCACCTACAAACAACAATGTGAATTCAATGCTGTGTTTGCATTGCAAAGTGATTTATTTCTTGCCTACACATAATTATAAAACTATAAGAGATGTTCAATCATATGTTAGACTTTTCTAAGAACTTCATTAGAACTTTGTTTTTAAACATTAACTGAAATGTTCTAGAGAATAACCTACATGGAACCAAATTTGAGTACAGCTGCAGTGTCTATAAAACAAGGAGGCTTAATCTGGTTAGTGTAAGTAGCATAAACTATTGACTCTGGGACCCACAGTCATATTTTCATGTGTCTAGAATACAATTAGGAAATATCCTTTGTCAATTCACTTAATGGCAGCATAGCCATCTCAAAAAATTGCTAACAGGCCTAAAACATTAACACTTTATACTTGTACGCCATTATCTCCATTTTATTGGAGAAAGCTCTATTGCAATTTCATAGGTCTTTGACTAATATGCGTATTTCTTTTGTTTTTTTTTTTATGTAGGTAAATGGTTTAACTATGGAATTATCTTTCTCGTCTTAATTTTGGATCTTAATATGTGGAAGAACCAAATATTTTATAAGCCTCATGAATACGGACAGTACATTGGCCCAGGGCAGAAGATATACACAGTGAAAGACTCAGAAAGTTTAAAGGATTTGAACAGAACCAAACTTTCCTGGGAATGGAGGTCCAATCACACTAACCCTCAGACTAACAAAACCTATGTTGAAGGAGATATGTTCTTACACAGCAGGTTCATAGGGGCTAGCCTTGATGTCAAGTGTCTGGCTTTTGTTCCAAGTTTAATAGCTTTTGTGTGGTTTGGATTCTTCATTTGGTTCTTTGGACGGTTTTTGAAAAATGAGCAAGGCATGGAGAATCAAGACAAAACTTACACTCGCATGAAAAGAAAATCACCGTCAGAACATAGCAAGGACATGGGAATCACTCGAGAAAACACGCAGGCCTCAGTGGAAGACCCACTGAGCGACCCTCCCTTGGTCTGCATCAGGTCCGACTTCAACGAGATTGTCTATAAGTCTTCCCACCTCACATCAGAAAACTTGAGCTCGCACTTGAATGAATCTACCAGCACGACAGAAGCTGATCCAGACCCAACGACTTCTAAAAGTACGCCTACGAACTAGATTCCCTTAATTGGAGATAGCGCAAAAAGCAAACTTGAGTGTAACTTTAAAAAGGTTAGTCTTTCCTTTTGTAAATGTAAGGTTTACGTAGTGTTAGGTAGAGAAACACAAACAATGCCACAACGGTGCTCAACATGCTTTTTCTAGGACTCATTGTTTTCTATTTGTATTATAATACACGTGCCTACTGTATATCTAACGTCCTCTAGAGATTGCTTTTCACAATTGCACAAGCTATTTACTGACTTTACAGCATAGTAGACGATTAGCTGATTACCCGTGTATCTGATGTTCAACCATAGTGGTGCCTTGAGACATTAAACTATTTTTAACTGTACCAGAACTGAAGTGTGGAACAGTCCTCGAACCTACTTCACATGGGTTTTTTTGTATACAATTATTTTGATCTACATTTGATGTCTTAGCAGGAAACAGATATAGCCATGATGTGGCTTAGGAAGTATCTCTTGTTTCCTATTCAGCAGTGGAGTTGGTGACTTTGACAGCAGGATTGCACAGAGGCCTGGTGATAACCTTTGAATTTGTTCTGGCTATCTGCCAAATACAAATACAGATTCAAAATTCAGTATGAGGAGAATGATAATCCAGCATGGGTCACTACTTGTGAAATGTGGCTTTCTCCAGCCAGTAATTGCAATTAGATGGTAATACCTAATTATGTTTTCCTAATTAAAGATAAATTGCTACTTGATTAAATATCCTGCCCTTCACCTATGGGAACAAAGGTTAAGAGGCGCAGTTGGGTGAACTCTCAAATTTATTGGCATTTACACAAAGCGCTAGAAAACCAAGGAACTGAAGTTTTAATCACGTGAGAGTTGTACAGCCTACTATCTGCAATATTTGTACATCTTTCTGTAAATATGGCTCTGGACAATGAAAATTGAAAAACATATGCCAACCCTGAATAAGGGAACTCCTCTAAAAATCATGCAGCAGAACCTTGTGAGGTAGAAAAAGACGTGCATGAAAGAATCTATTCAAGTAGCTTGTTTTGTGTGTGCATTTTTTTTTTGTTTTTTGTTTTGTTTTTTTAAGAATTAAACATCATACATTAATAAATATAAATTATATATCAGTAATTATGTGATGTAGTTTTTTGTTTGTAATAAAGGGATTCACTTGTATCTTAGTTTAACAACAGCCCGTTTAATTTTTTTAACTTGGTGCCAGATGAGTTAAAAAATGGAATACACCCAACGTGCTTTTAATTTAGTTCCATAAATTGTGGTTACATGTTCTTGAGGAGGTTAGGGGAGATCACTTTTAAGGCAAAATTATTTTCCTGTCATATACTGACATAGCTGTATTTTGTCTTTATGATTTTTAAAATCTCTCGTTTTGATCTATCTGCTTTTAAGCTTGCAGCATGCTGAATTTAGCATGCATAACAGAACTATGCATTTATCTGTCACTTGAGAGCCAGCTTTAATAAACATCTTCCTACAGTTGTTTACTAAGCAACTGGAACCATGCCCTTGCTGTTTCTTTTACCTTAAATAGCCATGCCTGGTGCTACTTAGAATCATAAATATCTCTGACACTAAAAATCCAGAGATCAAGCTTACTATGGTAACCCATTGACCATAGTGTCCAAAGAAACTTACCATGTTATTGCTTATATGTGGTAACATTGGCCATTACCAAATTTGCATAGTATAAAGCATTCAACTTTTGACTCTAGGACAAGTAAATAATACCACCTAGGACTCTCTCTCTATATATTTTATTCTGAAAGTCATTGTCTTGTAGAATGAAGAAGGAAGTTGATTTAGAAAGCAGGTGTTCATGATCAGTATACAGTCCTTACGAAAATATTAAGAATTTTTATGTGGGTGTTAAGGAAAAAGTGGTCCAATGATGTAATCTAATTAAAAGAAGATGGAAAAAAAATAACCCTAGAGCACTATGCTTATGTGTTTCTAGGGATTGACTAGAGAAGCTGGCTATCAGCTGATATGAAAATATATCTTTAAAGTTTTCCCTAAGTTTTGATAACAAACAGAATAATTTCCAGTAATGGCATTTTTCTCCAGCAATGGAATTTTAATGGCATTTAATGGCATTTAAACAAGATCCAAGTCTTTGAAGGTTTCCAATAGTTATGTATATCAATGTTGACATATTTATCTACCTATGGGTCTCCTTCCTTCTTTTGCTACCTCTTTTAGATAGCACATCACATCTGCACTTATACCAGCTAAGGATTAGCAAATAAAATAAAATAAAATAGTAAAGGTCAAAATCACATGTACTATGTTTAATCTTGAATCCTGAGTCATATACCAATAGACTATGACTCTACAGAGCTTTTGAACACCAAACCTTTTGGACTATCAAGGGCATTACAAATAAAAAAATGTGTAGTAAACCCGGAAAATGAAGAGTTAAAAAAAGGATTTAAAAAATCACTAACCACAGATTCTAAAGAAAGCATAACAAATGTGACGCCTTAATTGCAGTGATGCTTAAGGACTATAAACAATTATATTTCTACTGTTCAGTAATTACAGCATTTTCTTTCATGCAGTGCAGAATTTGTACTAATTTGACACAATTTTAGTATCCTACATTATAGAGTACTTCATTAGTAGTTTAAATGGAAAATTAAATAAACACTATGAATTTATGCCTGATAATATATGCCTAGACATAAATCTCATCACCACATGCCCATCTATATTATATAACCATAGTTATCTCATACTCTCCCCATGCTGGCCACTTACCATGCTCACTTACCTTTTAGCACAGCTAAGATCACCTGTGAATCCTATTAGAAGTGTTAAGAATTATTTGTTCTCCATTTGCCCGGAGAGTCAGCCAGGCACAAAATCTCCTTTTACTTTTATAGCATCAGATTTCACAACAAGTAATTCCCACAGGCACTACTGGCTGACAGGCCATGTCAAAGAAGTTGTGCAACACAGACACTCGGAGTTGAGGGGGGAAGTCAATACCGCTGTCATATCTCACAACTGGGCCCCATAAGCAATTCTGGTACATTATGTGCCTACCCTGTGGATGACCAACACAACCCAATATGAAACTCGGGAAAGGTAATGCTAATAAATCACTCTTAGCTGTCCCTGTAACTGATGACTCATGGTGCCAACTGAATTCTCTGACTTTCACCTAAGACCTTAGCACCCCATTATTGCTTATCCTCTGTCCTCACTCTGAACTGATCCCTATTTTAAATTAAAACTCCTGGCTATGCAGCCACAATCTGGGTACTGTGCTTTTATTGGTTTCTTCCTGCTCAGACTGTGATGGCTCACTACTCTATCTGGTCTGATGTCCTCCAGCTTTGCCCCTCAGAATTCAGCTCTAACCTGTATTAGCTAGTCCTGCCATTAAGAGGGGGAGAGCAAGTCCATTAGTTTTGTGACAGGCAAACTGACACTTGTCTCATTTATCCGAATTTTTATTTTTAAACATATTTATGTGCATAGGCTTGTGATTAATGGGAAGTGATACAGAGAAGAGAATCAAGGTCATAAATATTTGGCTTACTAGCATTTAGACTGGACTAGAACTGAATTATAATCTGAACAACTAGAGAAGTTTAGATGTGGTATTTATAGCTCACAAGTCACTCTTGTTGAAGCTAACTGGAAAAAGAGGTGGATATTTATAATGGAAAGAAAAGGTTAGGTAGATGGTGGAACATGAATGCAAGTTGCTGCCATGAAATCTTGGAAATAGAAGATGGCAGTTTGACTGAATGGGCTTTAAAACTCTGGGCAGGGGAAGGAGGCCTTTGTAGAAGGAACTTCAGCATAAAGTTACCATGAGTCCAATACTCCTACCTAATAGGAGTGCTAACAGGACTCAAGAACAGATGTTCAACATAGCTGAGGGGGTTACACAAAAGGTTAGCTGGTTGGTTAGTTTCTTAAACATTCTAGCACTCACATTACTCTGTGCCCCAAGGAGCATGGTGAGACCTGGGCGAGGGGACATGGGGCCCATGAAACAAACAACAGAGGTGGGTATGGGTGGAGTGGGCAACATGAGAAGAGAAAAACAAAAACCAACACATAACAATTCAGAGAGACCGGAACATCCTTGAGGGAAGAACAAAGATGGGGGCAAAGTCTGTTTGTAAACATTTTATCAGTGTATAAAAGTTGACATCTTGTAAACAAAAATGTCTTACAGATGCTTTATGATAGACATTCTGAGCATTTTTAATGAGAAACAAAATTAGTATTATTACTAATTTAATATGTGTAATATACCACAGTATTATTTTAATTTAGTGTAAGGAATCAGTTAGTTTACTTCAGAGAGTATAAAACACATATAAGGTATTCCACAGGCTTATTTCTTACCTCTATCCTCCAACACAATTTTTCATAAGGGTCTTAAGTTCCTTTATACCAAATAATTGTACTACTGAGCTTTTTGAGGACTTACCTGCATGATTGAGAAGGACGACTACAACTTATAATTGAGAAATATAGTAACAAAACAAATGTATAGATGCTCCAAACCCTAATAATTTTTTTCATTCTATCCAGATCATTGCTCAATTCTCATATGAATAAGACTACCATTTTGAGTATTTACTACATGCATATAAATTATCCCATTTAATCCTCACATTAACCATTGAAGGTAAATATCGTTAATTTTACTTAACAGATAATAAAAACTAAGGTGCAGAGAGGTTTATTAATTTGCTCAAGGTCACAAGGCTGGCAAATACAGAGTTAAGATTTGAATGCAGATTTGTCTGACTCCAAAGCCCCATTATTTCCCATTATAATCCTTCATTAAGATCCATTCAAACTATAGACTCCATTTCAAACAGGATCTTTTGGTGAGGATGACCTGAGGAACACTGTAAAACTGTTCAGATGCTTGATTTCTGGCAACTCTTATCTCTCAAGAATCTGAGCTAAATAATTACTAACAGGTATCTGGATGCAATCTACAGGTTATATCTCATGATTGAAACAGATAAGGTTGAATTAAATGACAGAAGCATTCAGTTCATTGCCAGGTGTTCTGATTTAAACTACATTTATAAACCCACAACACAGATTTGTCCTGACACAATTTCCAGCGTTGGAATTGGTTTATTTCATGATTTCACTTTTCTTGGGGGCGGGGAAAGAATTGACCTCTTTTGAACACACCCCCAGGCAAACGTCAGGGTGGGCGATAGGTATGAATATTCAAACAAGGAAAAAAAAATGATTCGTTAATGGACAGATTTAGAAAGCTTAATGTGAAGAGGGGCTCTAGAAATAACTATATTTTGAAGAAACCATCCAAAATGTATTATTTTTAAAAATCGTCATCAAGGTAAGCAAACTGTGTTGGGATAGGACAAGCACTGTCTTCACAAACATGTCCTTTGAACACTATAACCCTTAGTTTCTTATCCCCCCAATGGGAATACCTCACAGAGTTCTGAAGAGGGTGAACTAAAACTCTATGTGGAAGAATTCTGTGAACTGCAGGGAGTTGTGCAGATGTGAGGTTATATCACAGGTGTGGGCACCTGCCCCCCCCACCCCCCCGCAGTGTCCACCTTGCAGTGGAACCCACTCGGTTTGCCTTCACCAGCAGCTCTGGGCCGATGCTGCCACTGAACATGGTTAGGCTGTTTGCTCCCAGATTTCTGTCTCTCTGTAATTGTTTTGAACTCTACAAACTGCAATGTTAACACATTTCACCGTTAAAAGAAGTTCAGATTCCTTAGTTTTAAAGCAAGTGGCTAAGTTGTCTGAAATCAATGGCGGTAATCCCTTAGGGCTGCTGGGCCAAACTTATTCCTCAAGGTTTTCTCTGCTCTAGCGTTCTTAAATTATTTCTTTCCTTTTATGATTGCTTTAGCAGCTTCTCTTATCAGGACTTTCTCATCGTGCCAGTAATCCACCACCTTTCATAAATCCTGAAGTGTCTTCAGCATTTCACCGAGAGCCGACACACACACCTGAGCCCTGCACTTCAGGATCTCCCCAGCTGTATTTGGATGCACTAAATCAGGGAATCACTCCAGCTTGCCTTTTAGGAAGAACGTACCTTCCTGTACCATGGAATCCAGGCAACACCTCAGCCACACCAT